TGAAACAATAAGAGAAATAATGGTGAAATGATAAAGAACTACATACCGATACCAACCCCGACTCCCTCCCCTAATAGCAATCCCCACTGATGCTGCAGAGCAGGAGGCACTCAGGAGGGCTCAGCGGCTGCGGGGAGCTGGATACAGGAGCTGGATTCGGGAGCTCAGGATGAGGATCAAAAGCAGGAGGTCAGAGGAGTCCTCTCTGGACACCGGCCATTGCAGAAAAGGGCGAAACTCTTGTTATTACTCAGTTTATACCAAATATGACGTATACGTGATGGAATACTCTCGTTGGTCACCTGTCCTGTCTCTTACCCCCCGGAGGTGCAACCTTTTACTTCCTTGTGCCCCCTCTTACTAGCTCACACCCCTAGTGTGCACACAAGAGCCAGCAGTGGCCTTGGCCACTATAGGAATAAATATCAGCAAGAGCCTGTCTGCATCCCAGTCCCAGGCAGTAACTGTGAACATCAGGTGTTATCACTGCCAGTAGCAGACAGTGTCTGCAAAATCATGCTGCTGACTTCAGAAAGTGCAGACTTTTACAAGACACTAAACTGGAAAGTAAAAATCACTAAAGAGAACTGGGTTTTTAGCTAAACCCAGGACAACAGGCTGCCCAGGAATACACTTTAGGGTATGTTCAAGAACTTGTTTGCTTCTCAGTTATTTTTCTAAGATGCTTCTAAGGCACCTTTGCCCAAGGAACTTTTATCTAAGAACTTTGCTGAGTCAGATATTACCTTGTGAATATATCGGTCTCAATGCTATGACATGATCTCCTCCAAGTAGCCAAGAATAAATGGAATCTTAGTACTCTCCCACTAGAGACCAGCAATGCACTGATAAATCATTCTGCTGGCCTGCCTTTTCCAGTGGTAAGACAAGAATACATTAGAGTCACACAACAGCACTGTTCAGGGATGGAACGATGACTCTGTCTAGCGAACAAGCCTACAGCTCCATCTGGTGAGTCAGCTAGCCACTGACCTTGGCACACTGGAATTGAAACTAAAAACCACAACCCAACACTTAATTGAAGAGATGAACAGGACACCAACTCACACAGACATATCCCTAGAAGATACCTCTCAGGTGTGCTCTATTTTCGGTTTTACTCACTGGCAAAGCCCAGATATTAATTTTAGAAGCAAACTCTGTGCTAAAAAGTCAGATTCCATTAGACAGTCCCTCTGTGCTAAAAACATTACAGTAAACTAGCAGAACAAATTTTAAAAAGAAGGGGAAAAGTCCTATTTCTAGCATCAGAGTTTTAATTAGATCTGGACAACAGAAGACAGCTCAATTAAAATATTTAAATGACGAAAACAGACAATGCAAATATATTTTGTTGTTCTTTTCTCAGCAGGAGGAAGATATATTTTATGACACAAACCTGTTTTTCAACTCGTGGAGCATATACACAGTGCTTTTCATCTTCAAAGCCTTTTATGAAGATTAATTAATTAATTCTCACATCACCAAAAGAGGTAAGCCAGGCATACTCATATTGTAGGAGAAAAACATGTTCAATACTAAGACAGGCTTGACATCCAAAAGCCACCAGACTATGGCTGCTAGTTCTGAATTTGGATGCTGTTAATCCTAAATGCGAAATAACTTCATGAAATCTTCACTTTTCAGCAGTGACATATTGCAACTTCTCTCATGAAGTATTTTCTGGCAGTACCTATGGCTCAGAGTGGCGTGCTCGATATATTACTTGTCAACTCTGCAGTCTCAGCTGCAGCACCAAGGGATAAAGAAAATGTTATTTTCGGTTTGACTCTTAATTTTTAGTTACAAACTTTTCTCCTGCACTTATGCAACAACCGAGAAAGATTTAGTTCAGCATGAGTAGAAGGTGAATTTAGTTTTACATAAATGATCATTTATCTGGACTTTCTTCTTTGTTGCTGCAAAAGGTTGATAGCTTCTCACCTCTAGTCTTCACACTGCTTCCAACTTCCCTAACTCTTAAGTACAAAAAACCCCAAGCTATTGTTTTTTTCTTTCATTGTGCTGGATTTAACATGGCAGATATCTCTAGTGCTAGCCCCACAAAAAGTACCACGCTGTTATCCAGGACAAACATATTAATTTAAGTCCAGACCACACTATTTTGGCTATAGCCTAAAGGTTTCAACCCCAAAAAGATAGTGTTGCTATTTGCAACAAATATCTGTTTTCAAAAATTCCTTCCCCAATTAGCATGCTTGTAAGGAACACCTCCCAGCAAAGAGCAGGTGCTCAGTAATTTCAGAAGAATAAAAAGTATTTCTTCCAATACTTTCTCAAATCATATTACACGGAGAGAAAGCTCTCACTTCCATTTTTCTACAATTTTTCTTTCTACAATCACAAAGAGAAATTTTAAAGTATAAAGTGCAGCATTATGGATTAGAGGCGTACAAGCTCTTCTTGGCCAGCTAAAATAAGCAGAGGAACTTGCGACATTACTGTACTTAAACAGCAAGATAAGACTGGAAGAGGAAGGGTATGATCTATTAATGGAGCAGGTCTGACACGCTAAGCACTTTTAGTCTACTCCAAGAGCAGCGTGAGAAAGGATTTCATTCCTGAAGCACCTGTCAGTAACTCAAAATAGGATATGCCATCTTAGAGCTCAATTTTTAAAATCAGTTCATAGCATTGCCTTATTTATTCCTCTCCATCCTCATCTTACAAAATATTTGTTAAATCAGTTTTGTTATACTGATATAAATGAGCCCGAGTACCACTGAAGTTACCACTAGAATTGAGCAGTGTCCTAAGCATTAAAAGAACATCTTGAATCTAAGAACAAATACCTGCATGTCTTGATTTGTCAGTATTTCTTGATACCAACAAACACAAAAAACATCACCATATGGTAAACATATGGTGTCAATTTTAATAAACCATTCTGGTTTTAACGTGACAACTATTAAACTTCTTACAATCTACGGAAGGGTAACAAAAATCTAATGCCTAATAGTTTCTCAGCTCTTTAATGGACTGTAATTTTTGAATTCTAAGTTAATGGGTCAAAGATAGAGCGTATGCACACAAGACTTTTTTTTTCTTTTTTCTTGTAGTGCAGATAGGTATTATGAACACACGGTGTAAGATGAGATAGAAAAATAACTCTATGGCCATAGTAAAAAATTTAAAACAATGATTTATAAATAAGACCACAGTATGAAAAGTCACTACAGTAGAAATGACACAGCCAGTATTTCTATTCCCCAAGCTACAGCATGAAATTAGTAGCTAGGAATTCTGAAGAAGCAACTCATTTAATACTGATACAATGGGAGAAAGTATGTGATTAGCCACCAAAACTGACTCCTGCTCATTACAACTGAACCATCCTGATTCAAAGCAGGCACTAAATATTGACCGACTGAAGGGATGTGAAAGGAAGCACTATGTAGTGTTCCCCAGTCGTCCCTTTGAAGGACACAAAAGAGAAAAGGCTACGTGATTTGGCAGCTCCCATCCTGTATAAGGAAACAGAAATAAGCCTGGTCTTCAACGAGAATAATCACCTCTGGATCTCTGGAGCTTAATTTCAAAAACGTTATCTAGCTACTCAGAACTCCCCCCACCACTCCCACCCTGCCAAACCACACGACCCCAAGAAACAGAAGTAAAACAATGTACATCCTTTGTGATTTTTGATTAGTGAACTGAATAGACAAAACTAGATCTGGCCTTACATATGTTACTAATACAACAGTGTTTCCATTTAAAATAGCGTTAAAATTTCCGATCTAAAACTATATTAAAGCACAGATAAAAAAGGGAACACACACATCTCAATTTCTGTTAGTTTAGCCAGTACTTCCAAGTTTGCAGTGGGAGATCCTTTGCGTTAATATAGTGCTACAACTCTCAGGTACACATTTACACACTAAATCAGTCATACTGTAAACAAATCTCCCTGCATTGCACTGACTCATTTCATCAGTATGTCAAACAGAATCAAGACATTATCAATTCCATGTGGTATGCAACGATGTTCATTTCTATTTAATGATACCATGCAAGCAATCCAAGAAGTCAAGAGCCTGCTTTTCTGCAAACTGCTTTGTAAGCACACCTGTTCTGCCCTACCCAAGTTACCTGCATATGTGCTCATTCCCTTCTGTGTCAATAAACAGTGATACTAAGGAGGGGAGAGAGACACTGGAAGTCAATACAAGCCTCAGAAGCCATTATATTCTGATACTAAGGACTTTACCATACATCCTGTACAAGCACTCCTATAGACAGACATTATTTCTTCCTTGCTCCGTTTTTTTTCTCTTTGCTCTTCATATTTTTTCTAGCGTGACATTTTTTCTAGCATGAACAAAAATAAAAGAGCATTTAGTATCAGACTACTTCACGTCAATCACAACAGCAAGAGGTACAGATATTCTTGGAAATACAGTGTGCATTAAGATTGGGCTCTGAATGGCTTTACTACCACACACAGTGTTGCATAAATCCACACTAAACACAACACTGCATACACTTCATCTGACAAGCAAGTGCATCTGTGCATTTGTATATAAGCTTCTTCATTCCCTGAAGCTCCTACACTCAAACTTTAGGCACTGGTGTGCATGAAAAAGAAGCTTTAGAAAATACAGTACTTCAATTAAGAGCAAGCGAAGAGATGTGTTGAGGCTCTCAGAAAATGGTGCTCAGGTGGGATACAAGATAAGGCTTAAATGAATCACACTTAATGTCAAAGCAAACCACATATGCTAGAGTCTGTAGGGGGCTCTGAAATACATGTGAAGACAGCTGTTATCATTGCAGTTACCCCTCTAAAAATAGCTCTTTATTGCAACAGCTCTGTTTGTGCCATCTTGAGAGACAGACAGAGTTTGAGAAAGCTACTTTCACTAGACAAGAGCAGGAACTCTGTCTCTCTTACATTATGTGATTTAGCTCAGTGGTTGGGGTTTAGGAGTCTAAAGCACCTCAGGTCTGAGAAACTTCACAAAATACCAGAGTGCTCCATTCTAGGGCTTCAGTTTGCCCTCCTTCACTAATTGCTCATTGAGTTGGCAAAGCTGCCTTAGAAAGCCATCATTGGGGCCAATCTCTCGCTTCTGCCGGACAGTGCTCAATGCAGACTTGACATCCATATTCTGGCGAAGCATTAGGTAGGCGATGACCAGTGTAGGAGAACGGCTGTAGCCCTCACGGCAATGCACAAACACTTGTCCTGCAAAGAAGACAGGTCATAATTTGGGTTAGAGCAGAATGTATGTTTCAAAAGCAACATGAAATAGCTAGGATATAAAGTGTAATAATGTTAGCCCTTCAGCAGCTTGAGAACCGGATGCTACAGAAGACATGTACAACATGGAAGAACTGAGGAGAAAGGAGCGGCAAAGACAACATGTGATGAACTGACTGCAACCCCTGCTTGGGGAAGGAGGCAGAGAAACTCAGGAGTGAAGCTGAACCCAGCAAAAAGGGAGGGGTGGAGGGAAGTGCTTTAAGAATTGGGTTTATTTCTCATTATCCTACTCTGATCTGATTGGTAAGAAATTAATTGCCCCAACTCAAGTCTGTTTTGCCTGTGATGGTAACCGGTGAATGATCTCCCTGTTCTTATCTCGACCCATGAGCCTTTTATTGTATTTTTCTCCATGTGTCCAGCTGAGGAAGGAGTGATAGAGCAGCTTGGTGGGCACCTGGCATCCAGCCAGGGTTAACCTACCATACGTGTAAAACCCTGTAGGTAGGTATCTAACAATAATAAAGTAGGCCACTGCTCCCTTTGAGACATCTAACTCAATTTTATTGCTTCTCAGCTGCTTCCTCTTTGACCTGCTTTCCAGACACAAAAATTTTCCCCTTTCCAAATGTAACAGGAGATACAGCCCCAGGCTACTCTCCAGAGCAAGAGAAAGCCTGTTACCCCATTTGCCATGAGCTGCAGAGGCTTCTCAGCTCAAGGCAAATTTGAGAGCCCACAGCCACAGATCAGCAAGACTTAGAGGTTTTTTATTATATATGTGGAAGAGAACTGGCTTCCCCTCTACAAATAATCAGAAGCAAAAGGGTTTCTAGCCTTCCACTGTGAAAGACAGTGTCCTAAGGGCTGCCTTCCAGAACTTTAATATACCAGACGTGCCTTCCAGAACTTCAGGCAACTACAATGTTAAAAGAAACGGAAGGAAAATGCAACTGCATCCCTTTTCACTTCATTGTCCTTACTCTACACTTCAACATCAAACTGCAGTAGTAAGTTAATCTTAAAATTGGCTCCAGCACCATCCAGCCACGAAGTTCCTCTTTGTTTACTACAGTAAGAAAACAGTGGCAGGCATGGTAGACAACTGCTAAGAAAGACCGAAAGAATCAGCAAACAGAACTGCTACTGTAAATTCAGACTGACTCTGCAGCTCAAACTGAGTAGCAGCAGTCATGGCACAGCTGGCACTGTTAAACTCTTCCTTCCTACTGCAAACTATTTCAGTGGGTCACAACATTAAATGGAAGAGTCGCGTTACAATTTTTAGAATTTTCCACACTCCACCAACCTTGAGGTAAAATTTCTTTCCATCAGCTCTAGAAGTCATGAAGGAAGAAAGAAATTAAGCATGTGTAGAAATAACTGGTGTGCTGAAATAGTCAGACAAAACCGAACACTGTCTGACCCCCTGCACTATGTCCTAGGATTTCTGCTCTGAGGAAACACGCTGTAGAGAAATGTGGCAATCAACAACATTGCAGATATAATCTCCAGCTTTCCTGCAAGCCCAGAGAATCAAAAAGTAACCACCACATAAAATAACTTAATGATTTAATGTAATAAAAATTGTAAGGCCACAGTCCCTATCTTTAATGTACATTTGGGGAGGGGAAAGCAGGTTGTGTGAATACTCTTCATCAACGCATCAATTGTAAAACTTCTGCCTTTAATTTATAATTTTTAGTGTCCTAAACCAACTTTTAGATCCTGAATATTTTTTTTTTTATTTTTTAAATGTGATTTACTATTTCTAAGGAAAAATAAGAACACATCTTCCCCAAAAGCCACTATTACAGGATGCAGCAGCTGTTCCACTTTTCAAAGTAACCCCTACAGTAACAGACATCCATTTGCCATATAGTGGAGTCCTACATGTATAGACAGAAGACGAAGATGTCCTATTGTGTATTCTGGTATCTTTGATTCAGAGCCTTGATTTGAATTCCTGACTTGGTTGTTCAGTTGATAACCTAAGCAAAGAACAACCTTGAACAGTAAAATAAATTGCTAAGTAACACATGCACTGCACATAAAACACATTAGAAAGAAATTTCCATTTGTCTTACCATCCTTCTGGGAAAGTGCTTTCTCAATAAAATCAGCTGCCTCCTCGAAATAGCGACTGAGGTTAAATTCTTGTGTATCATTGGCTTTAATGCCATGATATCTGATGCCTGTGCCTTCGTAGAACTCTGCGTTAGTGTTCACGTGCATGAATGACTTCCCCTCTGCTGCATTCAGAACATGGGTTATCCCCAGACGCTGCAGCCTCATAATGTTCTTGGCGATGAACCTGTACGATAAAAAGTGCCAAGAAAATGATTAGAACTTGGCGAATCATCTCAGTATTTATGACGTCCCCAGAAGATACCGACAACCAAAACCTTTGATTTTTCTGTTAATAGAGGCTAAGTATACTGTGCTCAGAAGTGAATTACCTACAGATTATAAATTCACCAAAATATTTAGAGGCACAGTCACTACCTGTGCGTGACAGAATGCTACCTTCTTGGCTGACAACCGAGCAGAGCACACATGAAACTTAATCTGTTAGACCCAACAGATTCTTTCTGAACATAAAATCCTGACCAAAGTAAAAAAGTACTGGACATAACAGAAAATCCAGGAAGGACAGTCGCTGGTAAGATTAACTATTATCTACGTAACATCATTTTAAAACCAGTTATAAAAAGCCTCCGCTGTCAGTTACCAGTGTTGCAGGGTTAGGTAAGCAGCACTTGCTGCTCTAGCACAGTCCCGACAAAAAGACAGTCCAGAGGAGAGTTTTAACCACTGTGAAACAGCACTGTCTCCTTCTCAGGCCTCAGGGAAGATAGAAAGTAACTCTGACTTACTGTATCTTCAAAGGTCTCAAGTGAAGACTCCTATAAGGTGTAGTCCTCTGTCTCTGTGCTACTCAACATTTCTGAAGTCATGGTAAAAACTGGCAAGGCTACCTAAAGGCCAGCACTCTTTGCCACTCAGTGGTGACATCATGAGTATTGTAGTTTTGCCTCTTATTTGAAATCAGTATCTGAATGGACAAGAATCCAGATAAGTGATGATTAAGATGCTTAAGAAAGCATTGAGTACTTTTAGGTCAGCTAAGCCCTTTCAAACTCCTCAGTTCTATTAAATAATTGTAGCACAACCATCTGCTTCCATCTTCCAGCCAGGTGTCCAAAAGAGCACACTACCTTATTAGTGAACAGCTGAGCAGGAGGATACATGACAATCACGCATTTCAGCCTTGAGGATGACAATGAAACAGACCCAGTCATAACGCCTTGAAAAAAGTTCCAAGTTGTAAAATGGCAAACAATCTACCTGCTTAATAACAAAACCGATCATGCACAAATCTCTGCTTGTGCACTGGGACACAACTTATAGTAAGACGATATAACCATTAAATAATATTAGGAGACCACTGACTCCTTCTTGTTGTAAAACCTCTATTTTTCATTCTGAGTCTCATTATTTTTGTATCTCAGCCCCAATACTTACCTGGGAAGCAAAAAGCCCATATGTTTTGTCACACCATGTGATCTCCTAGTAAAATGTAAGCCCACTGGTCAACATCAACAGAATGTGACGGAAGGCTTTAGCTGAAAAATAACTCAGTTCCTGCACACTTTATGAAATGAAGTAGCTTAAACAAACATAAATCTTCTCATTGTTTTTACAGGCAGCTTTTGCTATGTGTCAAACTGGATGTGGAAACAGAAATCTTTTAGAAAATCTCCCTGCGGCTCAGGTCATAAGTTGCAAACATAGAGAATCTTAATATTAAGCTAAACTCCACATAAGCATTTGTGCAGTATCTTTCTGGAAAGCTTTCTAAGAGATGCACCTAAGGGTTTAGGCTGCACACTCAGCTATTCTAAAACAGTTAAAATAAATACCAAAATTAGTTGGTTTGTAACTATATGAATCTCTGAGTCATTCACTCACAATTTTCACATAATTCAAGGCTATATGAACATCTAGAGCATTCCTTTTCTCCTAATGACTGTTCACCTTGTAAATTGTGCTGTTAGCAGACGAATTCTTATGCATGAGTGAAGCTTCTACATTGCCTGCTGTCTGTGCCAAAGAAGATGGCAATGAGCCAAATATTTGTAAAGACTTCGTTGCCCAAACAAAAGTTGACAGATTTTCCAGCTGGCAGAACATCATCTGTGCCAGGGGATAAGTACCAGTGCCAGGGAATTCTGCTTGCAACATAAAAGTAAATCCCATAGTGCAAGGCCAAACCAAAAAGTATTAATTCAGTGGTGAGTTCCTACACTTAGCAGGGTAAGTCTATGGCTTAAGTAACAGTATATAGATCAGTATATATCTGATAGTGGTCAGGATCTATAGGAACCCATGTCCTGGAATCATGGTTGAATCTGGCAACAAAGGCTGGCATCCCTGGAGGCATACTCATTCCTGTCAGCAGTGAGGTATCATCAGTTAGCTGTATGAGCCTTGAAAGTATTGCTATATGGCACTATAAGCAAATAAACCGAGTCCTTAATGGAAAAAAAAATGCCAGCATGTTAGCACATTTTAATTTCCACTGTTATTTTCGTGCAAATTTGTTTCCTCACTGTTTCTTCCCTTAAAGTCAATAAATTTAATACTAATTTTGAGAGAATGTCTTTCATACTAATTTCTGCTTTTTCAGCCAACAAAGTTATTTTTCACCTCTTGTTGCCCTCCACAATTTTTCATCATCCTTTTAAAACCACTGACAGTAGAACTGCATGTTGTCTTAGTTCAACTAAGAGTTTAACTGTTCCTGTGCTACAAACTTCATAGGTGCTGCAGGTATTTTCAATTGTCAGTTATCACAAAAAAAGCGCCCTTCCCAGTGGTAAAGTATTCCACTGGACAGATATTTTTCATCCTGCAACTTACACATGCTTTCTCTGTTCCTAGATAACCTTGCGTCTGAATGTATTAAAAAGCCCCAACTGAACGATGACAACTATTCTGTAGTAGCCAACTATCTTCAAAGTTATTTTTAAATTATTTACTGCGCAAATTACTTTGCAGGCTATGACTTCATTTCTTCCAGGGAGCTGCTAAAATACGAAGAAGGTGACTGTCAAACGTCAGACTGGCAAGTGAGATAATAATTTTGGTCCTATCTCTAGATGCACATGTCCTGCATCAACTGGCAGTGACAAACATAATTTGGTTTGCCTTAGGAGAAAGTTAATGAAAACCTATGGGTCAACTTGTATTTCTTTAGGAGTTACAAGCTTCAAATAAGGATGGGGATCCAGCACACTACATACATATCAAAAAGTCCCAAATTTTACAGAGATGAAATGTACAAAGAGGGACAAAAAAGGGA